GTATAGTGAGCACATAGTGACACGAAAAGGTTGAGAAATGAGGGTAAATAAGAGGTGGCCTAATTGTTTTCCGGTTAGCTCGATGATACAATAAACATGCTTTCTTACCTTAGCCAGGAAGGCCCATATGCGTTGTTGTGCTCTGGACTTTCCATAGCAAAGAAAACTATGACTATAGATGTTGTAGCTCTTTCCAAACAGCATCAAACGAGCCATGTCCTTTCCCTTCTCTCCAGTTAGCTGATATGAGGGACCTGGATAGAAGGAAATCTGCGTGCTAGCTCCACCTAAGTCCAGGGCCCCAATCATGTCTTCTGGCGCAGCAGGATTAGTGCCTTTCATCTCAAGAGAGAAAAGTGATGAGGGAAAGATTACAAATAAATGGCAATAGCACAAAACTATAACAATATAAATTTCAATAAATTGCGGAAATGGTTCAAGGGGTGATTATCATATAACGTGTCTATCGTTGTGCACAATTGTATTTCGATACCTTGGATGTTCCTTGTCAAGAAGAGCATGGATTTATAGTCACATGGGTCTACCCATCAAGTCCAGCTGCTAAACGATATGAATGGCGTAGAAGGACCATAAAAACCTTGTCTTAAATTTCAGTCCCATAAAAGGAGTAATTTAGGTCACTCTAAAGATATCACTACATAATCCCCGGTATAAAAGGCCGAGCTTCACTGAGTCGTATGAGAAACATATGTTGAGCGAGGAAATGGACCAGCGTGAGATCTGCTCCTGCTGTTTTTATCACATAATTCGCTAAAAAAAACAGGTTAGCGCTTGTAAAATGAAAACCTGACTCAACTAGTTATTTTTTTAATTCTGACTAAAACTGTGTTGCTAGCTTATTAAGCTGCGCGTTATAATGTGGGAGCCCATCGAACCTTATGGCGGACATTTAGGAGAGCGGTAGGATTCTGATAATATCCTCGTAACTCTGAGCCACGTTAACTATTTCTATAGAGTTCCTTTGGCTGGCGAAATATAAATGACTGAAAAAAGAAGGGATGACTTAACTCAATAAGTTAATTATCATAAACCATAGAGAGGGTCATAATAAAAAATATAGGGATATTATAAATAAGTTATGTGAAAAGTGATAAAGGATGGTGCGTGTACGACATAGCATTGTGAACAAGAAGGATTGGATATTCATACAAAAGCAATAAATGCAATGCTGCCGAGATGATGTACTTATTCATTTACATAACCCAATCACACTTAAGGTACTTGAGAAAAAATTCTGCACACAAAAATGCCTGTGATAAGATCTTTGAAAACATACAGATAAGATCACTGTAACATGGAGTGTTAATAGGCAAGATGCAAGTAGTGATTCATGTTACATAAGGTTATCTTCATATAAAGCTAGACGATATATTCTGGGATTTTGATGAAGAAGCTGTGATAATTCAGCTCCACACTTCACTAGACAGGCATAGCTCTGCTAAGAAACACAGGACGAATTTCCCTCTCTGCCCACATCTTTGTGACTGTTTTTATCAATTCACCAGACCTTAGCAATGTTGGCCTTTTGTTAGCCCTATCCAAATTCACCCGTACTCATCACACAGAGCTGGTCGAAATTTCGCTCAGTCAATATCCACTTGCAGGCTTTACTTAGACATTTTTGCATTATAACTCAGCCTGCCGATAAAGCACATTCTCTACTACCCGGCCTCGAAACTCAAGCAAAGTTATCCAACGAAATTTCGTCTAGTCAACATCTACACAACTTTATTAACTTTATTGTATTAAACGTATTTTGTCCAGACCGGCTTCTAATCAGAATTACGTCTCTGAGTTTAACCCTATACGGAATACATGATCGTGTTGCTTCTTTCACGAGGCGCACAATCCAGTACATTGTCTCGGTTGATCGGTTTTCACCATCTCCTCATCTCTTGCCAATGGATTGTATATACACATTACTTACTACTTAAAATCAAACAAATAGACGGGACTCATCCGATTCCATATACAATGAATTGAACAAACTGTAAGATCAGCCTAAAACCAAATTCAAAATATTCTTATGAACTTTATAGAATAATGAGTGATACTGAGCGAGACACTTAGAGAATCAATGCTTTGCTATGACAAGATATACGCAACTATCGTGTCTCAAGTTCTGGTCTGGATTAACACATATCAGGGCCTTGGTCAGTTAATGAATGCGAAGAATGAAATAGGCGTATTTTGTAGTGGCGAAAAAGCGAGCAACCAAAAAAGTGTGGGCTTCATAAAAAATGACAATCTGTATTAAAGCAAAAGAATTCCAGGGGAGGAATCAAAAGGAAGAGGGTGTTTGCCTCGACACTAATCGTGAAAGAACAATTGAACTTTGATACAACAAATGTATGAAAATTTGCCAACGTCGACATTAAGAGACAGTTTCAGAAGGTGTTTCGCTTTATGAAGGATTCTTGATGACTAAAAAAACCCAGATGAACTTCAATAATTAAGTCTGAAATTGATATTATAGAAAACCTATTTTTGGCTATCTAAAAGTTCGCTTTAATCCAGTGTAAAGTGGTGGGATGCAACTAGTTGAATATATAAAAGAAGAGCCTAAAAGGACTGCTAAAAAGTAAATCATCCATTGAACTTGGCTACATAAAAAAATCCGCAGAAGCTATTCAGCCAAATCCCAGATAAGGCAAAGATGAGTTATAAAAGTATACTAGTCAGGAAGACCTTTAGGTCATGAAAAGATAGTGTGAATTGATTTATGAATCGAATAATGAAGCTTTTAAGGATACTATGGACTTCTTCATATAAATGTGGATCATTTTGGAAATTCATTCGGGTTAGACAGGCAAAATCGTTGCAAATATACAAGGGAAAGAGAAGAACTATGATGCGACATCTACCGAGGCATCCCCTTGCTTAGAAGAAATATATTCACAAGGATTATGTTGTAGATTAAATATTGAGAACAATTTTGCCTAAATATCTAGTGAATATAGACTATCATTGGCATATGTTTTATTTTGTTTGAAGAGGCAAGTGGAATATCGACATTCCTTTAATCAAGTATTCCCCCCCCTTGATAAAAGCCTATGATTTCGTAAGCATTTTGTCAGGCCAATCTAAACGAACATGCCTGCTCGCCTCTGCCAATTATTTCTCGTGCAATCAGCTTGAAGGGCTCGATATATCCTCTATAGCAATGACTCCCAAACTGTGTGCTGCGGCTTCTTTAAAGAGGCGCCGCAAAATGCTGTAAAAGCTTCAATTTGAGAAAATTTGCAGTGATTTGCCGGCTCATCCATCACATTAATTATTTAATATTAATTTAATATTAATAAAGTAAAAAAATAATGAAGATATATGAGTTTTTTTTAATTTTTATTGCCTACTTACGAATAGTCATACTTAAGGTAGGGCAATATGGAAAAATGCTAATTTAAAAAGGGCGCCGCGACTAGGAAAAGTTTGGGAACCACTGCTCTAGAGTCTTTGAGTAAGAGAGAATTGGAGGAATGGTAAAATTAATGCATTATCTTTTTTTAGGTATAGTGAAACAGCCGCCTTCATATCATAATACGGAAATGAAAAAAAAATTAAGACCGTTTACCAGAAGACGAGGGGTTTTAAAAAACTGCAATGCCCGAATAAATTCAAAATAACTCCTTCGTAGTCTCTACCAAAATTCTAGTTCCTTAAAAAGTAATAATGAGGAGAATACTGCCTTTTAAACGCAGACACAAATTAATTTAAAATCAAAGTCCTAAATACTGTGGCTGTCGCAGGAAAATAT